CGTGTGAAAAGGGGGGGGGCGACAACGGGGGGGGGGGGCGAGAATGAGAGGGAGGGGGGATGAGCGAGAATCGGGGAGGCAGAGAATGGGAAGGGGGGGGGGAGGAGGATGGGGGGGGGGGGCGCCGTGCGCCGCAGGCCCCCACCCCCCCGCGCCAGGCAGCTCGCCAGGCGCCTCGAGGGGCTCGACGAGAGGCTGTGGGCCAGGACCAGCAGCCTGGAGCAGGCCCGCGGCCGCTCGGAGTCTACCCCCCCAGTCATTCGCCAATCGCCCAGTCATCGCCACTGAGATACGCCACGCGCAGGGGGGGCGTCATGGGGGAATGGGGAAGGCTTTTCGGAAAGACCCTCTACCTCTTGCAAGGCGCGGGCCCCCTTTCTACAGGTGCAAGGCCGCTTTCCAAGAGGCGGCCTTTTTCCAAGAAGCCTCCCCCCTCCCCCTACCCCCTTTTAGCGCGCGCCGCCAATGGGACAACCGACGAACCTGAGCCGTCCCGCGCTCGTGGGGAGTAGCCCGAACGTGGCACTGCGCCTCCCCGGCTCCCGACTTCCCCCCCCCTCCCCTTACCCCCATTAGTGCGCGCCAGCAAAGGGAACCGACGAACCTGCGCCGTTCCGCGCTCGTGGGGAGCATAGTCAACCCGCACAGTAAGGATGGGCAACCTTCCCAAGGGTACCTTTGCACCCTTACCTCCAAAGGAGGAGGAGGAGGAGGAAGAGGAGGAGGAGGAGGAGGAGGAGGAGGAGCGAGGAGGAGCGAGGAGGAGTTGGAGGAGAAGGAGGAGGGGCGATGAAAGAGGAGGACGAGGAGGAGGATGAGGAGGAGGAGTGATGAACGAGGAGGAGGAGAAGGAGAATCCAGGTGATGATGATGATGATGATGATGATGATGATGATGATGATGATGATGATGATGATGATGATGATGATGATGATGATGATGATGATGATGATGATGATGATGATGATGATGATGATGAGGATGGATGATGAGGATGAGGATGAGGAGGAGGATGAGGATGAGGATGAGGATGAGGATGAGGATGAGAAGGAGGAGAGGAGGAGGAGGAGGAGGGACACAGAGAAGGAGGAGGCGGAGGAGGAGGACAGGAGGATTTTGGCTGTCAGAGGAGGGGGATGAGGAGGAGGGAGGAGGAGGAGGAGGAGGAGGAGGAGGAGGAGGCAGGAGGAAACAGATGAGGCGGGGGAGGACGTGGGGGAAGGAGAAGGAGGAGGACAGCAGGAGGAGGAAAGCAATGCCAACGTCGGCGGCGTGTGGAAGAGGGGAACAGCACAGGGTATGCGGCAGAGTCTCGCCGGCGTCGCGCAGCCACCTCGCGGCTGATGGCCTCATCATGACCTTATCTTCACTTGACCATGACCCTATCATGATCTATACCATTACATTCTCACGACCTACTACGACCTTATCATGGCCTTGTCATGACCACGAGTGGCAGCAGGATCTACCATTACCTTAGTCTCGGCCTCTGGGGGCTCTGGCCAGGCCTCGGGACCGTCAGCAAAGCGACTCAGGGTGAAAAGCCGGCCCAAAGGGTCGAGACCGGTGGGGGTCGAGGCTGCGACAAGAATCGTGACGTCGGGGGCATGGGGTCCCAGACCCGCAGCGTCACGATTCTCGCCACAGCGTCGACCCCCAACGGTCTCGACCCCTTCCTCGGGGCCGCTTTTTCTTCCACAGTCGAGTTTTGACGGTCCCGAGGCCCGGCCCGTCGCGATATGTTTCCACAGCGCTAGGGGGTCCGCGCTTCCACCTCACCCTCCTGATCATCCTCCTAGTCCTCCTGCTCCTGCTCCTGATCCTCCTGCTCCTGATCCTCCTCCTCCTACTCCTTCTCTTCTTCCTCTTCCTCCTCCTTCTCCTCGTGCTCCTCCTGATTCTCCTCCTCCTCCTCCTCCTCCTCCTCCTCCTCTTCCTCCTCCTTCTCGAGGAAAAAGATGGCACAACCATTGACTTGTGGCGCTCCGCTCGGATTTCTTGGCTCCGCGCTGGGCCCCTCCGGCGGCGCCTCCAGCGGCGCCCCTCGGCGCGCTCTGCGCGCCAGGGAGGGGGGTCCAGCGCAGGGGATCTGGGTCTATCTCAAGCAGTGGCGAAGCGTCCTGGCTCGCCTCTAGCCCTACCAAAGAATGTTCTAATAACCTTGGGTGGCTCCCACGAAAAGTTCTTAGAACATTTCTGGCGGATTCTGTCTTGTTTTAACACATCGGGCTTCTGTTCTAAGAACATTACTGTTGTTATTAGAGCATTTGGGGGTTCTAAGAGCATTTCGTGGTCGGACTATAGGAATGCCGGGACGGTCGGTCCCTGCTCAACTATCGAGACTTCCTCCTCCGCGCGCCCAGTGCGTCCCCGCGGCGAGGCCAAAACCCACACCCGGGGCGTCATGATTCCTCTCGCTTCGCGGGGGTACACGTCCGGACCACGTACAGTCCAGTTGTTGCGGGGCCTCTTGGGAGCTTCTTTGTGGCCTCTTGGAGGTGTCTTGGATGGGGGCTTCCTGGGGCCTCTTGGGGACTTCTTGGGGCACCTTGGGGGCCTCTTTGGGGCCTCTTGGGGCCTCTTGGGGGCGGCTTGGGCCGTCTTGGGGCGCTCTTGCGCCGTGTCGCCCCTTCGGAGACCGTCTTGGGGGCCTCCCGCGGCCGCCGTGAGGCTCTCTTGGGGTCCTTCTGGGCCGTCGTAGGGGCCTCTTGGACCGTCTTGGGGGCCTCTTTGGGCCGTCTTGGGGCCCTCACGGGCCGCCTTGGCGCCCTTTTGGGGGCTTCTAGGGTCTTTTTGGGGCCATTTTGGAGGCTGCTTGGGCCGTCATTGGCTTCTCAGAGTCGAGGAAGGCGAGACCGCCAAGATCTTCCCAAAACCATAGGACAATCAATGATTCTGGCCTCTGGAGGCGCTCTTGGGGGTCGTCTTGGGGCCCTCTTGGGGCGTCTTGGGAGCTTTTTGGGCGCTCTTGGAGCCATCTTGGGTCGTCTTGGGGCCGTTTTGGGGCTCTCTTGGGCCGCCTTGAGGCCATCTTGAGCCGTCTTGACGCTCCTTGTGGGCTCCGAGGCAGGTCCAGAGGCCCAAATCAATGATTTCCATAGGTTCTTGCAGGTTTTAGCATTAGTGCACGAAAGGGTCGGCGACTCGGCGGCAGCCCTGGGGGGGATTAAGGGGGGTTGCTTTGCAATGTATGCTGGTGCAATGTTTGGCAATTGCCCTTCCTTGACGCATCGTGGCTTGGCCCTTGCGTCACACACCCGTCCTGTCGGACTGCCGAGACGCTTCGCTGCAGTCCAGACGTGGATCCTTAGGCTCACGCCGCACCGCCGACTCCTTGGGAGGCTCCTGGTAGGTCTCTCGGGGGCCTCCTGGCAGCACTTTTGAGGCCTTTGGGGGGCTGTTTTGGGGCCTCTTGGGACCTTTTGGGCCTCTGGTGGGCCTCTTGGAGCCTCTTGGGGGCTTCTTGAGGGCCTCCTGGAGGCTTCTTGGGGCCGAGGGCTCGAAATTTCCCTTCGGGTCCACGCCTGGGCCCCTTCTGGGAGCCGCCTTGGGGGCCTCTTGGGCCGTCTTGTTGCCCTCTTGGGCCGTCTTGGAGCCTTCTTGAGGGCTTCCTGGGCCGTCTTTGTGCGATCTTAGAGGCCTCTAGGGCCGTCTTGGATGGACGTTGTGAAAGCCCAAGAGGCGAATCTGCTAAAATCAGACGCTTTCATCAGGGAATGGGACGATTTTTGCTTCTGGGGGCCCTCTTGGGACGCCTCTTGGGGCCTCTTGGTGCGTCTCGGGGGCCTCTTGGGCCGTCTGGGGGCCATCTTGGGCGTCTTGGAACGATCCATCGGCGACTCGGGGCCCTCCAGGACCATCTTGTGGGCCTCTTGGGGCCCTCGTTGCCCGTCGTGAGGCCCGTGGCGCGTTCACCCGGGACCGGCCGCCCCCCCCCTCCAAACCGACCGGATCGGGCCCGGGGGAAGGGGCTCGGGGAGGGGGAAGCATCCCACACGGCGGTGACCCCAAGGGCTCGGCGGATTTTGTTCACAGCGCCGACCCCTTCCCCAGAACCGGTTTTTCCTCTCGAGCCGTTGTTTGACGGTCCCGAGGCCCGGCCCGTCGCGATATGTTTCCACAGCGCTAGGGGGTCCGCGCTTCCACCTCCTCCGCCTCCTCCTCCTCCTCCTCCTGATCCTCCTGCTCCTGATCCTCCTCCTCCTCCTCCTCCTCCTCCTCCTCTTCCTCCTCCTCCTCCTCCTCCTCCTCGTGCTCCTCCTGGTTTTCCTCCTCCTCCTCCTCCTCCTCCTCCTCCACCTCCCTCCTCCTCCTCCTCCTCCTCCTCCCCCTCCTCCCCCTCCTCCCTCTCTTCCCTATCCTCCTGCTCCTCCATACTGCACCCCCCTGGTCTGTCGAGGCCTCCGCCTCCGCGCCCCGTGCCTCCCCGCGGCGAGGCCAGGCACCGGAGCCAGGATCTGGAGCAGCAGGCTCCCCGCTGCGCCCGCCGCTCGGGCGCAGGGAGGGTGCCCCTGCGCTCTGGCGGCTTGCGGCCCAGGGAGAGGGGGGTGAGCGAGGGGGAGCGAGGAGGAGGAGGAGGAGGAGGAGAAGGAGGAGGAGGAGGAGGAGGAGGAGGAGGGGGAGGCGGAGGAGGAGGAGGAGGCGGAGGCGGAGGAGGAGGAGGAGGAGAAGGAGGAGGAGGAAAAGGAGGAGGATGATGAGGAGGAGGAGGAGGAGGAAGAGGATTTTTTTGTGAACATGCACAGCAAGGGGGCGAACGAGAAACGGAGGGTCGCAGGGGGGGAAAATGAGGAGGGAACCGATCACTCATCGAGGGAGATCAGCCAGGACGCAACGTCAACTGTAACTAACAACGTCGATCCTGGGATGCCAATCCATGGAGATGCAGTTCCAGGAATGTTTCCTTTCTTGGGCCCCGCTTTGGGGAAGGGGTCTGCAATCGTCGCGCAGTCCGCGCACTTGCCCGCCGCGTGTGTAATACCTACAGCGACACCTTACAAAAACAAAAGAATTGTCCGAGCAGTCGAGATAAACCATCGAGTGCCCGAGGGACTGGAGGCGGGGCCCATCAAACCCGCGGATTCCGATCCCAGGGCCACCTTGACAACAACCAGGGAGAGGCTTTTGTTCGGCCCTGGATCCTCGGAAACAACGTTCACACTGCCAGAACCTGCCTTGCCAGCTCCACTGGTGCGCAACTACACTTCTCTGCTGCCGAGCCTGCTTCACCAAAGGGGCGTTGCTCAAATCTAAGCGGGACAATCGAGGCAGAAGCGTCCCAGCCAGGTCACAAACCAGCCTCGACACAGCAAGCTACTTGGAAAGCTTCTCAACCTGCTCTGGGTCTGGCTGCGGGTGCCTTAAAGCCGCATTCTTGGCCAACTGGTCGGCCACACCATTGCTCGTCACATAATGTCTGAGCTCGTCGGACAGATCAGGGTCATCTATAGCGTGCCGGAGGAGGAGGAGCAGGAGGAGGAGGAGGACTATTATCTATACACACCCATGTAAAACATACATACAGACATACATGCACACATACATACAGACATACATACAACCATACCTACATACATTCATGCATACATACCTACAAGCATACATGCATACATGCATGTATATATATGTACATAAACACATACCTGCATCCATACATGCATACATGCATGCACATACATACCTAAATACATGCATACATACGTACAAACACCCATCCATCCATACATACATACGTACATAGACCTGCATACATGCGCACATACATACACACGCACGCATGTATGTACACACATATAGTGATATGCGCATCCAAACTTATACATGTATATATACATATATACATATACATATGTGTCTGCAGATACACATGAATACGTGTGTATATATAGATAGCTAGATAGATGTGTGTAGTCATGTATGCGTATAGATGTACACGCGCCCCCAAGCACCCAGTGATGTCTCAGCGCTGTTTCGGGCTGTTCGCGTCTAGTTGACCCGCCATGATCATCCTCCTCATACGGTTACCCAATACTTCTCCACCTTCCCATGGCCTTCCTGAGCGCATGCTGTTCCGCTCGCATCCCTGCTATCTCTCCCTCTCTCTCGTCCCATCCCCCCTCATGCTCAGTTCCGTTATTGCCCTCCCTTTATTCTCAACCTTCTTGTGTTGGGTTCTCGTTTTGAATCGAGCAGTGTGGTCTCCACCCTCCTTCTCCCGCTTCCTCGTTCCTGCCTTCTGTGTTCTCCTGCCTTCTGGGTCCTGATTCTTGCCTCGCCGTTTTGTCTGTTGGGTGGCCTTGCCTAGGGGTTGCGATCATTGAGGGGGGGCTGCGATCTGCGCAACTGTCGCCACTGTCGTGGGCTCCTGGGAGGCCCAGCGGAGGTACGGCATACGCAGACCACCCCAGGACCTCGCCGCACCTGGGGGCTGCGATCTGCGCAACTTTCGCCACGTTCGTGGGCTCCTGGGACCACCTAGGGACCTCGCCGCCCCCTGGGGGGCTTGCGATCTGCGCAACTGTCGCCACGTTCGTGGGCTCCTGGGCGGCCCAGCGGAGGTACGTCCCACGCGGATCACCTCGGGACCTCGCCGCCCCCTGGGGCAGGGGGGGCTTGCGATCTGCGCAATTGTTGCCACTTTCGTGGGCTCCTGGGAGGCCCAGCGGAGGTACGTTCCACGCGGATCACCTTGGGACCTCGCCGTCCCCTGGGGGGGGGGCTTGCGATCTGCGCAACGGTCGCCACGTTCGTGGGCTCCTGGGAGGCTCCGCAGAGGTCCGTCCCACGCGGATCACCTCGGGACCTCGCCGCCCCCGGGGGGGGCTTGCGATCTGCGCAATTGTCGCCACGTTCGTGGGCTCCTGGGAGGCCCAGCGGAGGTACGTCCCACGCGGATCACCTCGGTACCTAGTCATTGCGTCCACTTCTCCGTGCTCCTGCTTATTCTCGCGACCGCGACCTTTTGATTTCACTTGTGGGTGCTTCTCTTTGGGTTTGCTGCCGCGCCCTTCTGTCTCCATTTGTGGATGAGTCTCCACCCCCGTTGTGCACCTCATGCATCTGCCCCGCTCAGCACAGCGCGTTGCTGAGTCAAATTGATGTTCTGGTTTAGCCCTTGCCGCCGCGTCCTTTTGTTCTCACTTTTTGGGCGCGTTTCTTTCAACGCCCCTTGTGTGTCCGTTTTGCATGTTTGCCGCTGCTCTTCTTGCCGCGCTCTTCTGACACCACTGGTGGGTGCTCGTCTTGCGCGCTGCGAGTCCTTCAGAATGCCAGTCGGCATTGAGCGGTCCTGAGTAGACTCGCCACACGTATAGCAAGGGTTGGGTACGCCGCAGGGTAAGTTATCGATCCCAGTCCTTTGGTCTCCTCGATTGCGCATAATAGCACGGAGTGAGTTGTCTGCGGGGGTCGCAGGGCGGCTGTGACACGCGTCTGCGGATAATGAAAATCATCGGCGTGGGGATGTGTGGGAGGGAGGGCCAGGATGCCAGACGAGGCGCGAGCGCACATAGCTTGTTCCTCTCCCCTTCTTTTTATATACATATATATATATCACTTTCTCTCTCTCACACTTCTTTCTCTCTCTCTCTCTCTGTCTCACATTCTCGCTCTCTATCTTTCTCTCTCTCCTTCTCTGATGCAAGCGGCGCTTTCCCCGCAGAGGGAGCCGAAAGCCTCTGAGCCATCCGGCAGGCACGAGGAGCCATCGAACCCTGTGACTCGAATGGGATGCTCTGGTATTTGGGGTGCTAGCCCCAGTAACAATATGATGTCACTGGGATGCTGGGGATTCCTTGGATTGTCCTCCCTCCGACCAAAAACTACCCTGAAGCCCCCCAGGGCTCCGAATGCCAAGGGTTCCGATGAATTCGCAGGGCTCGCGAACCATATGATTTTATTGGGATGCTTGGAATTCCTGGGGTTGTCCACGCTCCGACCAAAAATCTACCCTGGAGCCCCCCAGGGCCGCGATGGCCAAGCATCCCAACGAATTCACAGGGCTCGCGACGCCAAGGAAGCCCAAATTCTGTGCTTTCTGTGTTTTCACTGGGATGCATCGGGTTTCTCTGTGATGCGAACCTCAGGAGCAGCCGGATTGCACTGGGATGCATGGGATTCTTATTTTTCCAGCCTTCCGGCAATAAAAACACCCCGGAGCCCCGAATGCCAAGCATCCCATTGAATTCGTTTGGTTCGCGACGTCAGGGAAACCCAAACCTTGTAATTGCGAAGGCCTGACGGCCATTGCCGCCAACCCTGAAGGTGGGACCTCCCCCAGGACCCCCGCTGGCAACCCCTCTAGGACCCCCTCAGGACCCGCCTGGACCCCAACGGGGGGGGGGATTCTGACCCGGGAGCCTTCATCCTCCCTGTCAAGGAGGGAAAGAAGAGAAGGGAATCCACTTAATTACGACTGTTCTTTTCCTTGTTGCTCAATTTTCTTGGGACTGGCGACGACGACTGGCGACGACGACGACGACGACGACGACGACGACGACGACGACGACGAGGGCAAAGCCTGCCGCATAAGCCAGGAGCATTCTGATTTCATTTGTGTAATTACATGGGGTTCCTGTGATGTCTCGCCCTCCAGCAAAAAAAAACCCTGCAGCCCCCCAGGGCTCCGAATCCCAAGCATCCCAGTGAAAACACGGGGGTTGGGCTTCCTTGGCGTCGCGAAGCATGTACATTCAGTGGGTTGCTTGGCATTCCAGGCATCTCAGTAAAACCCGCGGTATCCTGACCCGGGCCCCCCCAAACCCAGGCTACACGTCGGTCGTTGAAGTCGGTATTTCTGGATTCCCCGATCCCAGTAGATTCGAAACGCAATTCAATTTCAAGAAATCGATATGGCTTTGCTGTTGTTTGTTATTCGTTTGGCGGCCCCGAGCCCAACCTATTTTATCCGACTTCCTACTTCACGTTCCCACGCACTTCTTCCGATTTGCGGACAGCCGTAATGTCTCAGGGAGGCCCGTGGGGTCCAGGAACAGGTTCGACCAAGACTTGGACCCTTTTGTTCATGCCAGGGTGGTGCAGCGGTGTCCCTGGGCGCTGACCAGAGTTACGGTAGGTTCGTGCGGCGATGGCGTTCCCGCGGCGCCAGCGAAGGCGTTCAAGGCTGAACGTCTCATGATGGAACGACGCGGAAGCACCGAGGGACACTGCAACGCCGTTGGACTCGACGGAACTCGACCTGGAGCGATTGGAGCCGCGATTCGGTCCAAGGCTGAGCGATCGACGCGGTGTCAAAACCTCTGCCCGCGTCGACGCCGCACACACCTGCCGCACGATCGATCCAACTCACACAAAGTGGGTGCCGTGGTCGGTGTGCTCGGGGAGCGCGCCGCGCTCGCCTTCGTCCGCGGTCCGTGGCCCCGCAGGGGCACAGCACCTCCTCGCTGTGCCTCGTCCCCGCTGCTGCGGACCGCGCCAGCGCCGCGCAGCTCCGCCTGGGCGCACCTGCCTCCGATCGCCCTCGGGAGGCACGCCCGTGGAGACCCGCGCCGAGGAGCGCCCGCTCTTTGCCTCCGGGGTGCCCCCTTCTGGGCTTCCTGGGCTCCGATGGCCTGGTCGCGGCGAGCGCGACCTTCCACACCAAGAATCGAGGGACGTCCTGGGGTCTCAGGGCTGGGTTTAAGTCGGGCCTGTCCCCCTGCAGGGGGATTTTCGACGAAAAATAAAAAATACCTCAAAATAATCAAAACATAATCCAAAAATAGTGCGGGGACTATGTTTTGAACATTTTGTTGCCTTTTGGGCGTATTTTTGGTGTATTTTTTGTTTTTCGTCGAAAATCTCCCTGTAGGGGGACACGCCCGACATAAGGCTGGGTCTCCTGTGGTGGAAGGTCTCTCGTGGACCGGCCTCCGCTGCGGCAGAGGAGCGGGCGAAGGAGCGCTCGCTGCGTCGCTCGCCCCCGTCGCGCCGAGTGCCCCGGCCCTCGGCGCAGGTGCAGGCGGTGGAGCACCAGAACCAGGTCATGGCCGCCTCCATCGAGGCGGGCGTCCCCGCCCCACTCTGCCTCCTCCCCCCCTCCCGCCTCCGCGTTCGTGTCTTGGCCCTCGCCCACGCCGCCCCCGGTGCCTTGACAGCGCTCTGCCTCCGCCTCCTGCCTCCGCCGCCGCCTCCCGGCTCGATGCCGGGCTGCCGCTCCTGAGCGTTCGCTCCCATCCCCTTTTCCCGCCTCTCCTTCTGCCGAGCCTGCTCCCTCCCCCGCTCCAGATCCCCCAGCCTTGGGGCCAGCATCCCAGACGCTTCAGGGTCCTAGCTCAGGGATCGTCTCTGGGCCTTCTAGCTTCTGATGGGTGGGCGAGCCAGGCCCCAATGGAGCGTCTCTTTTTATCTTTCTCCAATTCCCCCTCTTCCGCCTCTCTCCTGTTCTTTGTTGCCTCTCTTTTTGTTCTCTCTCTCGCACTCTATCTCTCTGTCTCTCTCTCTCTGTCTCTCTCTCTCTCTCTCTCTCTTTCTGAGCAGCAGGAGGGGGATGATGATGATGAGGAGGAGGAGGAGGAGGAGGAAGAGGGGGGAGGGGAGGAGGAGGAGGAGGACGAGGACGAGGAGGACGAGGAGGAGGAGGAGGAGGAGTAGGAGGTCACTCTCTTCATCTGTCTGTGGCCCCGCGGGATGTCCGCGACGGCGCGACGCGCGACGGCGGGGCAGAGCGCCGTCGATGTGCTCGCCCGCGCCCCCAACATCTGCTCAAGATCGGTCACTGGACTCCTCCTCCTTCTCCTCCTCCTCCTCTTCCTCCTCTCCTCCTTGACCTGATCACTCGCCCCCTCTCCACTGCAGCACAACAGGAGAAGCAACTGCGACGAACAGCTTCTCGGACCGGTGCACGTGCAGACCTCCTGGCCTGGGCCAGGAAGGCCTGTGCGCCAGTCCAGGGCCCACGATGGGCCTGGCCAGGGCTGGTGCTCCCCTACAGTGAGCGGCTTGAGTAAGGAACACTTACTTTTCAAAAGGGGTTCGGTCGTTCCTTAGGTTTGCATGCGTTTTTTACAATTCCTTATGCGTTATTTGTTATGTATCGTGCCTTGCTTATGCGTTATTCCTTGGCGAGAAGGGGCTTCGTTCCTTATTTATCGTTCCTTAGGTCAGGCCGATGACTGTAGTGTCTTCTGAGGAGGCCCGTCCCCTCGGCCTTCCCCCCGTGGGCGCGCCGGCGCTCCTCCTCAATATCCTCTTCGTTGGGCGTCGCGTATTGGGGGCGCGATACCTGGGAGGGGCAGCGAGGGCCGCAGAAACCCAAAGGGGAGGAGGAGGAGGAGGAGGAGGAGGAGGAGGAGGAGGAGGAGGGGGAGGAGGAGGAGGAGGAGGAGGAGGAGGAGGAGGAGGAGGAGGAGGCCCTTGTATGGCCCATTAATGGACCCCCCCATCAAGCGACACCAAGCTTGTGCACCCTTGAGCTGATAGTCCCTCGGAGTCGGCAAGCGAACGAGCTCCGCCTCCTCCCACCTCGTCCTCCTCCGGAGGGCCGTTTTGTTTGCTCATGTTGTTGTTGCGGCGCTCGCTTGCAGGGGTAGGCAGGCAGTGGATCGCAAGTGGTCGTCTCGTATCGTGTCTTCGTGATCCTCCGTTATCCTCCTCACCTTCCCTCGTCCTGCACATCTTCGCTCTCGCCTCTTCGTGCCTCTCCCTCCTTCTCCTCCCATTGTCTCCTCGTTCATTCCACCTGCTCCTCCTGCTCCTCCTCCTCCTCCTCCTCCGCCTCCTCCTGCTTCTTCTTATCCCCATCGCGCCCGCTGATTGCAGTCGTCTGCAGCTTCTCGGCCCGAGCTTGCCCCGCTTCGGCCCCCGCCGCCCCTCCCGCGCCCGCGCGACCAGGGGCGCCGGGAGCCTGCGCCGGCCCCCGCTGCTCAGGTGTCCATCGACTTCTACGCGGCGGCGGCTTTCTTCTCGGACCACGCGTGGGCCGCCGCCCAAGGCGGTGGTCCACTCTCCCCCCTCGAGCGCGGTATTGCACGGGGCCCACTTTCCCGTCAATCCGTTCTCGTGTGGGGCGAGCCCGACTGCGCCGAGCAGCCAGTCGGTGACGGCACGGGGTTGCCTCCCTGTTCGGGTTGGCTCGCGCCACTCCTTCCTGCACGCCGCTTGCCTGCAGGCGGGGCGCTCGCGCGCCCCTCAGGCCACCTGTCCTACAGGCGCCTGTCGCCAACGGCCTCCTGGCCCATGGCGTCCGCGGCTGCACCCCCAGCTTTCCGCGGTACCGACCCGCCGCGCTGGTGCCCCCCGACGGGCCCGCCGCCTCCTCTGCAGCAAAACCTTCCTCCACCTCCCCCTCCTTTCTCCCGCCATTCTTCCCCTTCTTCCTCTGGGGTGGCGGAGTTGGAGACTCATGGGAGGACCGGAGGAAGGAGAGGTGGAGCTTGCACGCCATGTGCTGCGGCACCTGATCAGTCCAATGTCTCACGAGGTGCTCCGGCGCACAGCTCCTACGCCCGCCTCCCGATGGCCCCAGACGGCGCACTGTCTCTGCCTGCCAGTCGTGCCGCCAGCGAAGCCACTGCCGATGAGAGCATCCCTCAGAGCCGCCCGTCAGAGGGCACAGGCGCCAACGGTGCGAAGACAACCGCGCTATGGGTGGAGGAGCCGGAGTTGGTGGACCCTTCTAACCTCCACCTCCTCGCTACTCCTTCTCCTCCCCTCGCCGCCTCGCCCTGGCTCAACCTTGATGCTTGGCGGAGCAGCCCTCGTGCGGACACCTGTGGCTTCGAGGTCGCTGAAGGCTTTTCCTGTCCCGCGGGGTGGGGCGCCGGCGGCGCTACGACGATTCCGCCCTATCCTGGCTGGGACGCTCCAGCGCGCGAGCCGCCCGACTTGCCTGGGCTGGCGAGTACGGTGCAACGCCCCCGCCCGCCTCCAGGGCTGGATCCTCCACCGCTTTCCATGAGCTTGCAGGCGGACTCGCCGCCAGGCTTCGCTGGGCTGGAGGGCGCCCCGCTCGCGATGGGGCCGTTCCCCACTCTCGCTGACGTGGAGGCTGGTGCTCGCGTGCCCCCGTCAAATTCCATGATCGCCATCGCTCCGACATATGGGGTTCACCTGTCAGGAGGTGCCAACTCGCAGTGGACTTTCATCGAGAAGCACGTTTCGCACCCTCTGGTGCGCACTTCCTTTCTGCCGCCGATGCACGCGTGGGACCCGCACACGGGCTCCGACATTCAGAGCGTGGCTCCGCCACCAGGCTTCGCCGGCTTGGAAGCTGGCGCACGGGTGCCGCCTTTGGTCGACTCCCGCGCGTCCGATGCAGCGGGTGGGGGTCCGTGGCTTAGCGGCGAGCGTCTGCCGTGCACCGGGTCGTCGCCACTGCCGTTTTGGCGCCCCACGGCCGCCGTCGGTGACCGCGCGGCTGGCGGAGCCGCCGTGAGTGCGGAGTCGCCTCCTGTCGGTGGTGGCTCGCCTTCCCACGTCGGGCGGGTTGGGCCGCCGCCGGGCCTCGCCGACCCACAGGCGGGAGTTCATACGCACCCGTCTCTCCACCCTAGCAATGTTCGCCCGGCCTCTTTGACTGCACAACCGAACCTGGAGTCCGCCGCCGTGGCGCCGCCGTCGACGCACGTCTGCGCGACCGCTGCCTTGGTTGGGACTCCGGCGCTTGTCAGCAGTATTCACCTGGTCGCTACGCCAGGCGGTACCTCGACGGCTCGGTGTCACCATTCACCGCCTGGCGGTTGCACTGGAGCCAGGCGCCACCGCTGGTGCATCCTGGGCGGCCCGCGCAGCGGTTGCTCGCGAGTCATCCTCGACGCCCCCCCTGCTGCCACGATGGGGGTCGGTGGGCGGGGGGTCGCTTCGAGCGCTTCGGACGCGGATTCTGCTCCCAGACGCGCCACTGGCGGGCCCCCAGCGATGTTCGGGGGACCCCCTGCTGTGCACGCAGTCTCGCTTGCGAGCAGTCCCACCACAGCGAGGGCGCCCACTGCCATCGGTAGCGTGGTGGACGCGCCAGAAACGCCCGTCCGCAGTGCCTCGACCGAAGCTGCGATCCCCACGCCTCGGGGCGCTTGCACTCGGAACGCAGCGGGCACTCAAGCAGCGGGATCACCTCCAGGCCTCATCGGCCCCGCCGCGGGCTCCTCGGGTGAAGGCGTCGCCGCAGCCGCTGCCATTGCAGCGAGGCCCCGACGCTTCTCGTGCAATCGGATCCAGGGCCCCGTCGCGTCGATCCCTGCCCGCGCTCGCGAGCGCCTGCTGGCCGACCCTCGTGGTCTGAGCCCCTCTCCGTCCCCACTGGTAGGCATGCGCCCCTCCAGCGATGCTGTTGCGGCCCCGCAGGGAGGGGTTCGTGCCGCCGGTGGAATGTCAGGAGCGGGCTCGCCCGCGGCGGACACGACGCCCCGCGATGCGGTCCCTGCGCTCCGCTCTGGTCGAGGAGTCGCTTTCGCCGCGGGCTCCTCGGATGAATGCGTCGCCGCAGCCACTGCCACTATAGCGCGGCCCCGTCGCCGCTCGGCCTCCACCAACAGCACCCCCGCACTCCCCGCCTTCAGGCTCCGACGTGTTCGTAGGGTCCGCACTCGGCGTGGAGGACGGCGGGGTCGTGGGGCCGCCGATGGTAGCTGCTGTACAGCTCACGCTCCAGCCCATGCTGGTGCGACTGCCTCGTCTACGGACGCCCTCGTCGGTGCTTCAGAGGCCGCTTCTGGGGCCCGTGCTCCAGGGAGCCGCAGTTCGCTGGTGCAGGTGGCGGCGGGCCCTTGCCGCGCCGCTTCCGCCGGCTCCCAGGCCGCCGGCGATGCCGCCCTCCATGGCGGCGCATCCCAACACAGGGGTGGACGCACGCGCCCTGCGTGCCCTGGCCGAGGGCTCACGCAGCGGCGAGTCGCTGAAAGCGACGACGCTGCTGCTGCCAAGCGTGCCTGGGCTGAGCGAGGCCGTGAGAGTAGGCACGCGCTCCTCCAGCGATGCTGTTACGGCCCCGCAGGGAGGAGCTCGTGCCGCTGTCGCGACTCTCGCTCTACCCCCGGCTCCCCCTCAGGGCCGAGTGGCCAGTTT